TTGTCTTTATTTATTCCTCAGGGGGGCAGGCATAGGTGATGAGAGGTCCAGTCCCTATTCTTCAGTTCCTATGAGTAAAGGACTATGACTTTGGCACCTTTTCATGGTTCTAGCTAAGCAACAGTACCACAGCTTTGTCCGTCTGCTCTCAGTCCCTCTAAGCCAATTCCCTCAAGCATGGAAAAGGATCTGCCTCTTCATCTCAGCTGCAGTTAATTTATTGCCTGCTGTTGTCTGTGTTAGACTGACCTATAGTAGCATGCCACAGGCTGTAGTGCTTTTCACATATGTTTGCTCAGCTAGAAAATCTACCCAGGAGTTTCCTGAGTGCCTGCTGCAATACAACCTGGTATTTTTGAGTCTAGAAATGCCTGTGAACTCCTCAGATCTCTTCTTCCCACTGACGAAGTATTGTTTTGAGATCCATCTGGTGTCAAGTGTAGGCATATGGCACCAGTATGGCAGCGCTGCCTACGGGGGTGGTTTCCTGCAGAAGAGGTCTCGCTGAATGCAGTAGTCGTTGCCTATTTAAAGTCATTATTATTTAGCACCCAGGACTCTGTGAACTTGTTCAACTGGTGGCTGGGCAGAACGCCATCCGAATCTACAGGCATGAGCTGAGTCTCTGGAGCCTTACACACATCAGATGTGGATACTGAGGTCAGGCTTCTCAGTAAGGAGAATCTAAATGACTGTCTGTCCCGAGCATATGTATCTGTGGCTGAAGGGATATGCCATCACTAATCCAAATCTGGGCCAGATTAAGCTTCTAAAATAAAAACCAGCTCTGCCAGCCACTTGAAGAGGGCTTGGGGCCTGTTTGAGTTGAGCTCATCAGTGGGGAGGAAGGCAGGGAGGAGGCAGAGGTGGCTGCGCAGTCACCACTCCCTTACCCGTAGCACTTCTCTCCCTGCGGTTGGGCCAACCTGACAGCTGCCAAAATGGGGCTGGGTGTGCTGCCTTCATCCTTCCGACTGCAGGCTTCTCCAAGGGCTGGGCAGCACTTAGTTTCTGAGACCAGCCCTCTCTTTGCCATGACAAGAGCACAGATATTTCATGCTTTGTTTCCTAATGACTTTTTCAGTGCGGTTCTTGTGACAGCAGGAGCAGAAGCTTTAGCATTTGGGCAGCGGGATCACCCATTTGCCAGACAAAAATCTCAGGTTTACCAGCCTGGGCCTGGCTCTCCCTTTTTCCTGGGCAGTGCTCCCACCTGGGGCTAATTCAGACTCACTCATCCAGCCCTTGGAGAGCTGCTCACCCCCCGCAGTCAGGCAGAGTATGCAGAGGGGTCAGGCAGTAGCACCAGTGTGGTGGTGCCCCACCAGAAAGCCATCACCAAGATACAGTAGAAAAATCTGGGTGGAAGATCACAAAGCCAGAAGTACCAGAAATAGTCTAGCAGGGTTGCTGAGGAAGGTAAGGAGAGACAGAGAAAGTTAAATCCAGTAGACTGTATTTGCATAGAAGGAAAAAACACAAAAGCATTAAGCTAAAGTGAATAATGATTCACTGCACAGAGCAATTCAGAGAAATTAAGGTAACCAAGCCCTGGGGTTTGCCTGGCTCTTGTGGGTCCCAACAATTTGCAGACACAGAGGCTCTGCAGCACCCGTAAAGCTGGGAACCTCCTGTTCTAAATGCCACTTTTAGACTGTGGATGCTAAACTCTGTGTGGAATTGCCTTCAGACATGATCCCTCTTACATTTCTTTATGCACTGTTGCCATTTCCTATGAAATGCTATATACTGCTTCTCTCCTCTGCAATGGGTAACTACAGCATATAAAATAATAATCTAAAATAAAATAACCTATAGCATATAAAATATGCCTAAGGGAAAAACTAGAAAGCTTTACCGTTATTATTGGAAAGTGCCGTGAGATTTCCCCAGAAAGGTGTGGTAGAAGTGCAAAGAGTGCAAAAGCACTGTTATTTTAAAACCTGACCATGTGCTGGTTCCTCCCTCTTTGAAGTCAGTAGCAAAACTCTGTTTTAGAGGAGCAAGACTGCTTGAATCGGCAAATAAGAGGCAGCCTGGAGGCAGAAGAGGCTTACAGGGAATGGCTTCTGCTACTCTCCTTGAACACAGAGCTGTTGAGACAGACTGGAGACCTGTCAGCCACTCTCTCCCATTAAGGCTGAGAAATGAATGCTGCTTTTAAAGTTGTTAAATGAATGGGCTGGATCTTACAGCCCTTATTCATCGGAGTACTGCCATTAACTTTAAGAAAATAATCACTATATTAAGTGCTATGGAGTGGAGTCCTTAAATTGTTAAATTCTAATATTTGACAGAAGTTTTTCCTTGGCAGAAAAATAATACTGACATATTTAAAAGGATGTGAACATTTCATCAGTTGAAGAATGCAAGTTACTTCGGAGCGATATGTAAAACTAGAAGCAGCAGAGAGGTCTTAAGTCCGTGTCATGTCTGTAGGTTATTTTTGAACTTGATGAAAAACACACTTTAGCAGTTTATATCCTGACCGTTCAGCTGTATTCTGGGATACTGAATTCAAAACCATGCTAACCATGAAAACGCAACATTTAAAAATACACTGTCCACTTGGCTTCTTCTCCCTGCTTCAGAGTCTCCCAAGTTTGTTTCGGACAAACTGAGGACTTTGTTGTGGAATGACTGTTTGAATTGGGGTTTCTTAAAATACATGTGGAGCCTTGTAGCTGCTGTGGGGTGTACACAGTGGTGGAGCTGTACTATTTTAAAATCATCTGGCGATTTCACTTCATGTAAGAATATCTGTCAGCTTAGTTATAAGGAATGAGAGGGGTTGATTAAAACAAGTCACGAAGCCATTAAACAAAGAGATAAAATGTAGAACATGTGCTGTAGGGCCGTTTTAATTATAATGTATGAGGGATCTGTGGAAACCGGATGGCAGCTGCATTGTAGCTGAGTTTTAAGCCCCCCTTAGCAGTACCAAAGTCCTCTTACTCAGAGGTGGGTTTTCTCATCTGTAAAGCTAATAGGTCCTTTAGGAATGGTATTTGGAGACTACATTTTGTTGCTATGAACGACCATAGTGTAATTACTATGCTCAAGCACTTAGATAGATATGGACTAAAATAGGCAATTATATATACTAATCATCTAGTCATTAGATACTAGACTGTATAACATCAGAGAAACATATGCAAAATCTTTAGTCAAGAGGGGAAGGGATCAGAGATGTCAAGTGAACAGCCGTGAGAATCCAGAGAGAATGGGGAAGAAAAAAGGTAGTGGCAGCTTATTTCATTACCTTAGCGATCTTACTAGGTAAAAAAAAAATTATTTAATATGCTGCTGTATGCTGCCTACTAAATTAATTTAGCATATAATCTGGCTTTAAGCAATAGATATCAGTCACATGAATTCAGTAAAAACTATTTAAACTTCACATTTTGCTGTATTCTTATTAACCTAGTTTTAGACATCACAATTTAGCATAATTAATTCTAGTCCTATCAGAAGCGGTTTTAAATCTCTGGTGTAAGAGTTCAAACCAGTCTCTAGCCACTAGAAATCTGGATGAGGGGTAGTAAGGAAAGAAGACAACACATCTGCCCATGTCAAAGTTTTTACAACTGCCAGAGACAGGGTCATCAGGGAGTAGACACTGGGTCTTGTTCAGCTTGGCAGCTCGTATGTTCCCAATTCAACTAAGTTTACTTCAATGTCTGCAATGCTTTTTATGCAACTGAAATACGGTAATTTAGTTAACCCTTTGTCACTGAGTCAAATCGGTTCACACATAGGAACATCACCGCTTCAAAATATCCAGTCATTAAACTATAACAAAGATTTATTACCAAAACTCATTGGAAACAGCCAGAAAATGAATTTTTAAGAATGCAACAACTAACGGTGAATTTAACTTTCTGACTGTAATTGCCACAGCAGTTCAAGACTTGCTCTGTGGCTTGTAAGCATCACTAAAACTGCCCATGAAAAAATGACATTTGCTTCTGTTTGCAAACTGTCTATATTAGCATGTGAATTCTCAGGCAATTATATGAAAGCTGGAACTTTTGCTTTCCAATTTGCATAAAGCAAAGGCATAACATCCAGGACCAATTATATAAAAATGGGAAATTATTCCTTCTAAAAAAGATGGAGGACTTGAAGGAGTTACAGCTTGTTGCTCTTGGTAGTACCTTGTTGGCATATGAGTTGGCATATGGCCACTGTGCCCCTGAGGACTTCAGATGTAGTATGTTATTTGAAAGAAACTGGAAAGCATTAATTGGGATAGGTACCCATCTCCTTATTGGCTTGTGGGGCACTCTACCAGATAGCCAAGGTAACTATTACAGCAGTCTGACTCTTCAGCATCCCCATCTAAAGAAAATGTAAAAGGCAACTCAGCTGTCATTAAAATGAGGAAACACTCTGTTCAAACAGTATAGGGAAAGCGTGATTCTCTCTGCTATTAGAAGAGGACCTCTCTGTAGCAGAGCAATCAGTCTCTCATCCAACAATGAGACACGGCTTGTCAGCTGATGCTCTCAAGGCAGCTCACCTTGAAGTGAACTTTGGAGGTCTTCTCACAAACTCACCTCAAATCGTTTGAGAGTTAAAAGCTAGAGGAGCAATAGGGGAAGAGCTCTCCCTGATGGAAAATCACAGGCCAGGATGCCAATTTCTGTTGGGTTGGCATCTGGTTACTTGCAGTTCTCACTTTTGGAAACAAAATTAAGCACTTTCCCATCACTGTCATGGAGAGGTTATTTCAGGTTTTTAGTATCATTGCTAAGACTCATTCTATGGTGCATATTTTCCCTAGGACTAATGGAACTACACATTTTAGGGTCAAAATTAGCTCTTTGCATGTGTCCTATCAGCTTTAGCACAATTACTGGTGTGCAAGGAATATGAATAGAGCTCATATAGTGATTTCTAAAATAAAAAATGCTAATTACAATATGCTTCCTTAAGGAGAGAATTGAAGATGACTGACAATGTAACCCCTGTCTTCTTCTCTATCTGTTTTACTCCAGTCCTCTGTGATGTCTGTCTGTTTTGCCCGCTTTCACCCAAACCTGGTCGTTGGCGGAACATACTCTGGCCAAATTGTCTTGTGGGATAATCGCAGTCACAGACGCACTCCAGTTCAGAGAACTCCCTTATCTGCTGCTGCTCACACGGTAAGGATAAAAATTACCTCCTCCTTTCCTTAGAGAAAATGATCAGCAGGGAAGTGGAGCTGCCTAGTTTTGTCTACAGTGCTGGTTGCCACACAGATGAAGACCTAAGTGTGGCCTTTGAAGGGAAAGAAATAAATGAGAGATGTACAATAGCCTCCTGTAAGTGCTTAAACATCACACTTCATACATTTAAGTCAGGAGATTATCCTCCTTTCCAAGAAAGAGGGCAGGATCAATTACCACACTTGAGAGAGGCACCTTTGTGCCAGCACAGTGGCACTGTTACTCTTGCTCTCCATTGCCTGTAAAGAGAGCCAGGTCACTACAGGGATTGTGTGTCTGTCAGTCCAGCATGGCAGGCAATTTGAATCATTTATTGTTGTCTTGTTGTACATGAGTTTCTCTTTTGAACCAAATTAGGCACCTACGGTGGTCTCAATTGAGTCCTCTAAGTAGACACTTGGTGCTCTTGAAGACAGTGGGGCAATTTGCTTCTGTTTTCTAATAGAGCTTACATAAATGACTGTCGTGGTCTCCTGCTCAAGACAAGGCCCTAGTGCAGAGCTTGCACAGTGAGACCGAGTTTGTTTCAGTAGAATGATGTGGACCAGCATTTTGCTGGCACACACAGATACCCACAGATATAGTGATGATGGTGATGGTGGCACAGGGCTCTGGAGGTATCTGGGAGTTATACAGGCAGAGCAGTAGCACAAAATGCCTGAGAAGGAAGAGAGTTTCTCTGTGATACAAAGATTATGTCTGTGGTAGAAGACTCTCTTACATTGTGAAGTACTCATACTGTGCTAGAGGAAGAAACCAGCCTGGATTGCCTGCTAAAGTGTCCTCATGCTGCTGTGGTACTGACCTCCAGTCCATCCTGCACTATGTTGTGCATTCTTGACCTCTCCTCTTCCAGAGTTCGGGCTCAGACAGCCTCTTCACAAGAGCTAGAAGGTGTACTCTGTGGAGAGTAAACATACCTTGAGTAGGCTTGAGACCATTCTGGAGTAGGAAGCAGAAAAGAAAATACAGGCTGAAAGGAGGAGAAAAATGTAATAGTATGATATAAGAATGCAGAAAAATGCAGATTTCCTGAAACATAAGGCACTGAACTACAAAAAGCACTCTAAGAGATAAGATAATAATCTTGTTCTAGCAGAGCAAAGGATCAGATGAAGTGGTAGGTTTTTTGCACCTCCAGCTTTTACATTTCTGTGATTCTTATCTTTGGAATTTGCAGATCAAGGTTGAGCTTTTAGTTGAGTGTGACAAAGTAATCCCTGGAGTTAAAAAGACAATTCTAGAAGCCATGCCATGTGGTTCAATGCAAAAGATTCATCATGGGGCCAGAATTATGATGACAAGTCTCTTACATTAAAAAATTACAGGTGGGCACAGACACGCTTAGTGGGCCAGGCAGTACAAATAGTGCTCCTTAGCTTTCCACTATCATGAATGTTGATGTAATAATCTAATGATCTGTGCCATGGGTTGCAACTTCAACACTGCTTTTCATTTCCCTAATGTTTTTGCTCATTTTGTCACCAGTAATGTTGTTCAATCTGCGTGAAAAGAAACAGTCTCTCCTGGAAGTGCAATTTAGAGATGTAGCAGACCAGAAAACTAGTGGCAAGAAGCTAACTATCACTGAAAATTGTACAACTGGGACTCAAAATCTAGTGGAAAAGAAAAGATTAATGGGAAGTAATTTGTTTACACTCAAAAAATGTTTAAAACAAAATTGTACCTCCTGGAATTATATATTAAACTAGTTTTATTATTGCAATAGAACAATATGTGATGTTTTGCTTTTGACAAATATAAATAAACGACTTTCAGTTGTGGATGGGCACTTTATGTCCTGTCACAGATTGGTTTTTACATAGTCTAACATGAGGAAGCATGATGTCTTTAAGGAGTGATCAGATTTTACAATAAAAGAGTGCTTACTTTATGTTCATATATAGAAATCACTTACATAAACTATAAATGAAGTCTTGGCTGCAAAAGGCTGGCCTGAATCCTAGCTGCCAAGAAAAAAAAAAAAAAGGATTAAATTAAGACAACTCTAGTGTAGCAATGTTACTTTATGTACTGCTAGATACGTGAGTTGAATAGTCATTTTTCAAATTTGAACTTATGCCACATGTGAAAAAAGGATTTTTCTCTTTTCTTTCTCTCACTTTGTTTATTTGAAAGAGAGTGTGTTTTTATCACTGATTTAAACCTTCCAGAAGTTTAGTATCACTGATTGCTGTCTGGATTCACCAGGAAAGAGAATTCTACCCGCAGCTTACTCACTAATTTCCTTTCACACCCACCACACATCTGCACTTGGGACAACAGGAAATTTTAATTAAGACAAAACCCTTTTGCATGATGATTTCATTTCCAAAATAAATAAAAGCAAGCTGGCAGCGACCCTTTGAAATGAAGGAGCCTGTTTAGACTTTCTGTTACGTACAGTTGGTTGTCTTTTTCATCCATTTTCCTTATATCTTTTCATTTCTGCTGTGAGTTTTATTGTGCATGAAATTGATGGCTGGTAGTGCTGATTAAAGCCAGACCTGGCACACTGAGGTGCTGCTGAAAAGAAATTGCTTGCTCTCTCCCTCCCCCCCCTAAATATTCTAGGTACTCCATTGCTTGCTTTAGCTTCCTCCCACCCACTCTATCCCTGTCTGTTTGGACCATTGGAGGTCAATTACCCAGGAAAAAAATAGGTCTATGCTTGCTTCATACATCAGTATGTGCTAATCATGTTTAGCATTGGGGTTATTGGCTCACCACTAAGCAGCAAGGAGGTCCATCATACAAGGGTAATTGTGTGAGACATGTGAGGGACAGATTTGGGTCCATTTGATGATCTGGGAGAAACCAGGTGCCTGACAATCTTGAGAAAGAGAAAAATCCACATTAGAATGGACCGTGTGACTTACTGGTGTGTACAGGTGGCCTCCCACCACAAGGTACCATGTCAGCAGCCATTGCCGAGTCTCTCTTTGCTGTGTGCACACGCACACTGTGTATTCAGATGCTGCCCTTTTTGCACTTAGAGAGGGGGCATTTACTGGGCCCGCTCAGGTATCGAACCTGAGAGGTAGCCAGTGCTCTGAAGATTTCTGCCTTTCCCTGCTGACTGGGTAGGTGACCTGCAGCTGGATCTTCAAGTAGTCTAAAATAAG